AAAATACAAACAGAAGAAGAGACTGAACAGCAGAGCCAAAGAGCAAAGGGAGAGGGGAACATGGAGGAGCACTGGTAGGAGAAACACAGCCAAGCAAAGAAGGGGGAAACTCGGGGTGAAAAGCAGGGGGATACCAATGATCTTTTTTGTAAGGGATACCCGTGGGATGATCTTGGTGCTTCCTCCCTTCTGCTACAGCTGTCTGTAGTCCTGCCCAGGTGAGGTGCTGTTTTCTCACCCAGCTGGGGACCACATTTCCTCCTCCTCTGGAGGATGGGGTAGAATCACAGAATAGCAGGGGATGGAAGGGACCTCTGGGGATCATCTAGTCCAACTCCCCTGCGAGAGCAGGTGGCACAGGAACACATCCAGGTGGCTTTTGAAACTCTCCAGGGAAGGGGACTCCACAGCCTCTCTGGGCAGCTTGTTCCAGTGCTCTGTCACCCTCAAAGGCAGGACATTTTTCCTCATGAAGATAAAACCCTGACTTGCATCTGTCAATCAGGATGAAGATCAATAGAAGCCAGTGTGATTACCCTGAAATGCAGAAAAGCACATGCAGTGCTCTAGGAAAGTAAAAGCCCTTAGAGGGACTATTCTTTATACACCAGGATGAAGACTTGAAGCTCCAGGCCACAAATAAATACCCTGGTAATGCTGAGGGGTGGAGGGAGGAGCTGCTGAGGAAACTTTTGACTAAGGTAGTGGTCTGGGTTGTAAGATACATGTGATTTGATCCTGTGCAAAATTGTATTTCTCTTAGCCTTAGTGTAGCTATCACACTCCATTAGCACTGGAAGCATATGCTTTAAAAGAGGAAAAGAGGAGTGGACAGCCCAAAGTTATCACACCCCATTAGCACTGGAAGCTTATGCTTTAAAAGATGAGGAAAAGAGGAGTGGACAGCCCAAAGTCAAGATAACCATGTCCATTTTGCTTAGCACCTTCATTTCTTGCTACCTATCTGAAAGATTTCAACTCATCTCCCTCATTTTATTAGTTTTGTTATGGCTGCACCTTTTCATGTGACTACTGGTTCAGTCAGAGTTCCTATTACAGCTTTTCTTAGAGCTAGTCCATAATCCCATCTTGAAAATGTACTATGGGCTAAGATTTGGCATACAGCATCAGCCCAGGCAGTATAAAATCCTTTTTCTTGCTTTGGCTGGGATTTGGCTTTCTGTTTTTCTTTTTTTGTCAAGTGTTTTACCTATATACACACTAAAAATCCCCTACACTTACTTTTCCCTCTTTTAAAAAAAAAAACTATTAAAAGATGCTTTTTCTCATTAGGACTTTGCATGAGTTTTATGTATTAACAAAACATCAGCAGTCACCCTGATGCTTGCAGTTACTATGCATTGCTATGAAAAAGTTTAGACAACAGTTTTAAAAATCAATAAAACCCTTGCTGGTTTTGTTTTGCTTTGTAATTAGTAATTTGTAATTTGTGGTATTACTGACAGAAGCACTAGTGCCTGTAGTCTGTGGATCTCTGTCATGAAATGTTTTCTGAGAGTGTAGCATAACTGGCAAAGCTGGAATGATAAAAATCAGAAAGTGCATAAAAAGGCAACAGGGCTTTTTTTTTTCTTCCCATTGAACTAATGCTTGTCTGCCAAATGATCATTATTTCTTCTTTTTACCAGTTAGGTTTTCCTGGTAAATAATAAGAACTTTAATTGCACATTAGTAGCTTACAGTGAACCTATTGTTGTGACATGTATTTAAACAAGCTGTGAATTAAGAACCTCTTTCCACTCAGTGATCTAATTATACTGTCACACTAATTATAGTATTTTGTATTTATATTTGACAACTTTAATTTTCTTTTCCTAGTTTACTGAAATAGCTTTCCTCTAGAGAATTTACCTTTTAGGCTGGAATTTCTCATCTTTTCCTTCAGAAAATGTACAGTAATTTAAAGCATGTCCCAGTCACTTTGGATCCATTCTGGTCACGTCCCTGCCATTAGTTTTCTGTGTGATCTCAGGCTAGTTATTTCAGTGTTCTCTGAGTCCTGTTCAGCTTACTAAAGTGGTTTTGGATCTGTGGATGAAATTCCACTACCAAAAAATCAGGTACTCTTTATGCATATAAATATAGTGTGGTCATAGCTTGGGACTCCAGTTGATTCTTCTGTGGTTAGGGAACAGAAGAGGATCCAGGAGGGTCAAGTTGAGACTTGGAAACAAGCAATAAAACCTTTATCTGTTTATAGAAATAATATGATGAGCATTTGAAGTAAATTACAGTCTTTAACATAATGTAAATGCCTATTTAATTTCTATCCAAATACTATCTATTCCCAAATCCCTGAGATTAATGTTAACAATAAGCAGCCTTTTTGTGTGATAGGTCCATGATGTTGTTTTGATGGTAATTATAATACTGAAATTAGGCACAAAAGCCTTTATTTATTTGGTTTAATCTTTCCCGGCAAATGCCCTTATAAGTAAAGGCTATTAGGATGGGGACAGGATTGTTAGTGGTGTAACGTGATGAAGCTAATCAAAATAATCAAATATATAAAAAATAATCAAAATAGTGACAAAAAATGGTGCTGTGGAAACATCATGAAGATTTCAGCAAGGCTTAGATGTGTGTCAGCAATAATGGAGCACTGGTGGAGTAGTAATAGAACAAATAAGCTGTTTGCTCACACAGGGAGGACCCAACTTGTATTAAGGGAAACCTGAAAGTGTGGAGAGCAGGAATTTATCCAAGAGGTAGAGAAAAGTTTATGTGGACATGGCAACTTTGGCTGATCTGAAACATCTAGAAGTGGGGTAATGGAAGGCAGGGGGCACATAGCTCAGCTTTTTGTCATTGCTAAGGAGGCACACAGATGGGCTCTGTGAAAGCTGGGTGTAGTCTGCTTCACTGCAAGGTGGATGCTGGCAGCAGACTTCTAGAATGACATTTAAGATGAAGGCAAAAATAAGGTACATTCTTAGGGGGCTCCTGAGGAATTGCAGCTGCTTTTGTTGGAGACTGTGCAAGTGTCTGGCCTAGCAAAACAGAGATGGTTGCAAGTTTTGCCTACACCTATGCTTTGTGGAGCAAACTTCCAAGATTTAAACAGATCATTTTAAACATTAACTTGTTCAAAATGAACAGAATAGGTTTCATTACTGCCACACTAAATCAAATTTAATTTTACATATCACATCATCATGGGAAGATGTCTAAGAGAATTAGCACTGCTGAGTGCAAATTCAAGCTCTTAGGGAAAATGGTGCATCTCTAGCTCTTAATATACATTTCTTCCAGCATCTAGCAACTTCTGTACACCAGCTGCTCCCTGACTTCACAGACATGACCACTTCATATCACTCAATTCACCCAATTTTCTCTCTCCTGCTGTATCTCTTCTGAAACACACAGGCAGAGCAGAGAGTTTTGTTCTCAACCCAACAGCCAGGCTGTAGCACGATGTATTTTGTACCAAGTCTTCAGCAGAGCCAGTAGCCTCATCAGAAAAGATCTTTTATGGCATTCCCCTACTCCTTCCTTTCTGCCACAGAACTTGACCTGCCGTGGTTTGGTTGTTGTTTTGTTCATGCTCTTGCTGGTTTGTTTCATTTGGGGTTTTAGTGTAAAACTTCAGAGTCTTCCTTTTGTTTCTTTTGGGGTTTTCTCTTTTTTTTATGAAATGTCAAATGCAACCTGAAATGCTTGGCTTTTATCTGCAGCTCAGAGGCTGAGGTGAGCCTGTCTCCTGTGTTTCTGCCTGCAGGGATCCCAATGCTGAAGATAGTGTTTGCAGGTTATGAGCACCTCTCCTTAATTTCCGTCCCCTTGCTCATCTATCATCCTGCTCAGATTCTTCTTGGCAGTCTGTTGGTACCAACAATAAAATCCTGGATGGTTTCTAGGCAAAAGGTAAGAAATGCTCATTTTGATTTATAATGGGAAGTGTGCTATGGGGGAAAAAAAACACCTAAACACATCTTAAACTCCTCAGGTTCCTTCCTGGAGGTCCCTTGGTAAGGATTTTTCTGTTTCTTTACAACAGAAATATTGACTTAAAAATGCTGAACTTTATCCCCCATGGCTCTGAAAAGGTTCAAATCTTGAAGTTAGACCTGTATGGTTCAAGTTATTAATTCAAATGATGAATTCAGATTATGCCCAGTAAGGATGGCTCCATCTTCAGCTAATAATCACAGTTTGGGATCTCTGTTACAGAGAAGTGGCAAAAACCTGTCCAGTGGCATGGGAGCTGGTGACATCAGGTGAAATGAGGAGACTTGCTGAAGCAGGACAAAAACTTTGTCAATTATTTTTTGTCTGCTTGGTCACCCTTTGCAATATGAAGGAGTCTACAGGAGTCTGACACATCACATTTCATGCCAAAACTGTGCCATGGGATAGCTTGTAGGATTATAAACAATAACCTAGAGGTTTTGCACTGACATCACTGATTCAAATTACATTTCTATCAGTACAGCTGAAGCTACAGACATCTGACAGCCATTCTGAGGTCTATATGAAACAACAACAGTGGTTTTATCTCAGATCAGTAGGAACCCCCTTGCAGAAAGCCAAGGGGCTTTCTGCAAAAAATCCATGCAACTGATTTTGATGCTGTCTTGAACGTTCTGAGAGGATGAATAAGGATGAAGAAACTTTAGCAACCAAAACAGTCTTTGACAGCCCTTCTAGGTGAAGGTTGAGAGCTACTGTGGGAAGTCCAGCACCACCAGTACCCTGCATTCTCCACTTGTTAGTGGAGGAAATTGTTTTAATGACTCCAATGTTTCAAATTTTCAGCAAAACCCACCAGGCTGCCCTTTTACTAGTTTAACTCAAGTCACCTTGCTAACTTAAATGCTGAAATTCCCCAAATCAGTGATTTCTATGTGGCCCCACTTGTGGTTACCTGAATTGTATAGTGTAGGAATACAGTTTTCAGGACCTGAGTCCAGAAATCAGAATTTGTTAAGATACACTTGTCTTAGCACCTGAAAATAGAAATTTGAGAATCATTTGCCATTTCTCCATCAGTCTCAAAGTTATTATTGTTTTAATCAGAGATTATCAGGAGATGATGGGTTGTGTAAAGAAAATCCTATGCTATTTCTGGAGGCACACAGCATAAAGTTGACACTACTGGTGAGAGAATGATCCCTGCCACACCAGCTTCTCTTCAGCATCTGAGAGCAGGAGTTGGGCTGGAGATCATCCCAATCTCCCTGATCCTCAGGGGCAGCAATGGCCTTGGGGGGCTGCTGTCAGCTGCTGCAAGTTAACAAAGCCTTTAAACAGGCCAGAAGAAAAGCCAACCAGCACTGGGGAGATTTACAGCTCACCAGCACTAGTTTCTTATTCATTAAGCATCAAATAAACCTCCTGTGCTAATCAGACTGTAATGCTGCTGTAGAACCACTTTGGGGGATTCTTGCTCTGTTGCAGCAGTTCCTTCAGTTGGTCTTCTCTATTATTCACAAATGTTATTTTAATTACTCTTTGAAAAAAAAAAAATCAATGAGGTTGGGTCTGGAGCAGTTATAAGAAGTATAATAGAAGTGCATGTTGTGACTGGATAATGGTCTCTTGCTTTGAAAATAAACATGTCATCATCACCCTTGATGTTTATTTTCTCTAAACACCTTGGCTTCATTTTGGCATCTCTCTTGCAGGGGGAGACGGTTATCCAGTCACAGCACTCAACTGCAGTGACATTCTTACTTAATTATGATAGTACATGTGATCTGGTTGTATGAAATTGAATTTAAATATTTAGAGGTTCATCTGCACTCAGGTATCTCGAGTTTGTAAATATGGCAGCAGAATCTGCCAAACTACAAAGTTAAAAAAATTGTTTCCCTCCCAAAAGAAACGTGGAGTGATGTCTCTCTCCAAAGTCTCTTGCTGAATAATCTCCAAAAGGCTAATCTCAAATGGCTGGATTTAACAATAGCTACACGCTGGGGTTTCTGTGGGGAATACAGCCTATTTATTTTTAAAGGTTTGGATTTGTTTTAAGGGTTTACATTTGTGCTGGAGCATTTTTCAAGCCGTGCTTACAAGCTTGAAATGTACACTATTAAAGGTTAATATCTACAATGCAGAGACCCATCAGACATCTCTCAGGCTGAAAATGAGGCACAATCATTGGAGTTGAATTTCTGCCACACACTGAACAGTTCAGCTGCCACAGTTGGGAACACAGAGGTGGACCCTGCCATCAAATAAAGGCGTGTGGTTTCTCTCCTCCTCACAGCAGACCAGAGGTAGAAAGATGTCAGGTGTTCCCTGCCATAAGATCACCTCTGGGCTGATGGACTTTTATTCTTACCTGTCCTCAGAAAGGAAGGTACAACCATCAGAGGTACAGGACATCCACCACGGCAGCAGTGGCTGTACTCTGAACAGGCTTCAAGCCACAGGGGAGGAGGCCAGGAACACAAAGAGGTTGGGCAGAAATCTTCCTCACTGCCTTACCCTAAGTGGCTCAGAAGCTCTTATCTCTGTGCCACAAGTGCTTTGAGTGGGGTCCAAATAGTTGCTTTCTAAAAGGCATCTGAGCCCCACCTCTGCTTCCTTCACTGGCACTGTGGTTCCTTGTGGTTCCTCCATCCAGGTTCTGGGTACATGAGGAAGCTGTGATGGCCTCTCAGAGATAAAACCCCCATCCCAGAGCAGAGTGAGCTGCCACCTGCCTCCTCTCCTTGCTCGGCCTCCCAGAAGCACACACAGCATTTTGTTGCCCCTTATAGATAAAACCCTTGCCTTGTGCTGTTGATTGTCTTTGAAGAATGTGAAACAGTGACTGCTTTGTTTCCTGTTGGCAGGCACAGAAGTTAACCAGGCAGCCCAAAGCACCCGTGAAGGTCTAATGGTGGAGATGGCCTGTGGCAGTGAATGTATATATGTACTATACTGTACACAAGGACACTTGGGACAACTGGGTATTTGTGAATGTTGCTTCAGTGCATATTTTA